TCACTTGCTATAGGGTGTGCACACTTACCTGAGACAGAAGGAGAGAAAGTGAGGAAGCACTCCCGGGAGGGATGGCCACACCAGTTTCTTCTCCTCCATGCTTCCCTTGGGATTACTTAATGTGTTTTTTGAACTCAAACCGCACAGTTACCCATGAGAGATCCAGCCGCCTGAACCACATCACTAGCTGGCCCTCCGGTCTGGTGTCCTTACAGAAGGTTTTGTCCCCTTGGGAAGTTCACTGGTTCTTCTACTGACCCCTAGCCTACCTTCCTCCCACTCAACGATCACGTCTGTTTAAACCTCATTTCTTCAGGGACTCTTCCCTAGCTCCACTCGTAATCTCAACACTGTTTCCTACAAGCCCCTCCAATACTTCTCCCTGGTACACTGTAAGCTCCAGGACAAGGATCATTCCTATTTTGTTCAACACTAGTCTCCTATACACCTCACTGACTGGTGCAGGAAATACTACCACAAAGAAATCAAAGAGAAAATGAACATGACAGAATCACAAAACAAGCAATGGGAAAGTCACAGAAGAAATCTGAAAAGACAAGCAAAATAGGAAGGTCAAAATGGCCAATGCACTAATAATTTAAGAAATAAAAAAATTAAAACTGATGATATATGTCCATGAAATTTTAAAAAATAAAAGAGACAGGTCACTATGGGCCAAAATAAACTGATGAACTGGTATAACCTTTTGGAAGGTAATCTGGTAATATCTTTGACCGAGCAATTACACTTCAAGAAATTTATTCTACAGCCACACTATAAAAATAAGCAAAAATATACAAAAGGACTTCAAAAAGTTTGTGGGAAAAATGGAATTAAAGTACAGGTTAATTTTGGTGCAGAGAGTTGAGATCCATATATATTTCCTTCACAAAATGCACTTTCCATAAACTTTTTGAAGACTGCATATGTACACTGCTTTCTCTATCTACAGCGCTGTTTCTAACAGGAAAAATAAGTGGTCACAAGTGGATTTTAAGAAAATAATCATTTAACCCTAAAATATCATACTGACTATGAAAAGTTATCTAAGATACAGTAAACATAATAAAACAAGTTGAGTTTTTTACAAACCTACTAGTAAGTATACCACAATGAAAGGCTCTAAAAACTAAGTATAAGTGGTTACAGACTGGGACCAGCAGATAGTGTAATGGTTAAGTTGCTGGACTCCCACATAGCTGACCATGGTTCGAGTCCTGGATGCAGCAGCTTGAAACTAACACAAGGCGTGTGTTGTGTGCATGCATGCCCAAGATCCTGAGAGGAGAATGGAGGAGAAGGACTGTGGCAATGGTCATCCCCACCGGGGCAGGGGTGTGATCTCACTTTCTGTCTGTCTGTCTGTCTGTCTGTCCGTCCGTCTGTCTCTCTCTCTCTCTCTGTCTTTCCAGCAAGCACACACGCACCCTCCTATAGGAAAAATCTCTCTTAAAGAAAAAACGGTGGGACCAGCAGATAGCATAATGGCTACATCACTGGACTCCTATGTAGGCAAAAGCAGTTCAAGTCCCAGACCCGGTGACTTAAACTCACACCAGGCGTGTGTGCCTGTGTGCCCAAGATCCTGAGGAGAATGGAGGAGAAGGGATTGCAGCGTGGCCAACTCCCCTGGGGAGTGATTTCTCACTTTCTGTCTGTCTGTCTGTCTGTCTGTCTCTCTCTCTCTCCTTATCTCTCTCTCTCTATCTTTCTGGCAAGCATACATACCCTATAGCAAAAAAACCTTCTCCAAAATAAATAAATAAAAGGGACTAACAGATGGCATAATGGTTGCATCGCTAGATTCCCACATAGTTGGCCATGGTTCGAGTCCCGGACTTGGTGTCTCAAAACACACCAGGCACGTGTGCATACCCAAAATCCCGAGAGGAGAATGGAGGAGAAGGGATTGCAGTGTAGCCTTCTGAGAACACACTCCTTTCTGCGAGGGAGTGGTTTCTTGCTTTATGTCTCTGTCTCTCCAGCAAGTGCACATGCCCCATAGAAAAAAAACAAGGGTTACAGACTAACTAACGTGTATTTAGAAGGTTCTAAAAGAAATAATCCAGGGAACCAGCAGTTAGCATAATGGCTATGTTGCTGGATTCCCACGTAGTCGACCGTGGTTCGCGTCCCAGACCCAGTGGTTTAAAATTCACACCAGGCACGTGTGCGTGCGTGCCCAAGATCCTGAGAGGAGAATGGAGGAGAAGGGATTGCGGCATGACCATCCCCTCTGGGGGGTGATTTCTCGCTTTCTGTCTCTATGTCTCTCTCTGTCTGGCGAGCACACGCGCCCTATAGTTAAAACCTCTCCCCCACTCCAAAAAAAAAGAAAAAGAAAAAGAAATAATCCAAACAGTGGTTATGTCTGAGAATTGCCATTTCCTTTTTAACTTTCTGACAACTGATTTTAATTATGTGCACATATTACTTTTGTAATCAGAAGGAAAATGCATTTTTAAGTGTTGCATAAACTGAAACACAATTTATACAATGTCAAAAAGTATCAATGTCTATAAGTCCTCAATTCCTAAACTTTAGAGGGATCTCAAAACTGATGGCCAAGGGAATCAGCAGCTAGTGTAATGGCTATGTCGCTGGACTCCCACGTAGTTGACCGTGGTTCGCGTCCCGGACCCGGTGGCTTAAACTCACGCCAGGCGCGTGTGCGTGCGTGCCCAAGATCCCGAGAGGAAAATGGAGGAGAAGGGATTGCAGCGTGACCATCCCCCTTGGGGGTGATTTCTTGCTTTCTATCTCTATGTCTCTGTCTGTCTGGTAAGCGCACGCTCCCTATAGTGAAAACCTCTCAAAAAAATAAAAACTGATGGCCAATAAAAATGACATTCAATTCAAGTTGTCAAAATTACTGTACTGGGGTACCAGCAGGTGTCATGGTGGTTAAAGGTGCTGGACTTCTACATGGCCAACCACAATTTGAGTGCCGGATCTGGTGGCTTGCTTTCTTACTTTCCCTCTCTCTCTTTCTGTCTCTCTCTGCTCAAAGTGGAAAATAATAATAAAAAACAAAGTCAAATCATTCTTTTAAAAATGTATTACTGTATACTATACCCCTGATGAGTAATTAGAATTAAGAAAGCAAATCAAAAGCTTTCGGTCGAGGCTAGCTTTGAGAGTCAATAACTCAAGACTACACTCAACTGACTGACTTTCTTAAGTTTATTTTTATAAATTTGTTCCAGTAGTATGTAATGCACAAAATAATAAAACATGTTAATGTGATCACCTTAAAGCTGCTGACTATTTGATAATTCAGGGTTTTTTTAGTATGTTCTCCCTAATAATACCACATTCTACAACTAAACGGGTACTCAGAAATACTTTTCAATTTGGTAGAAAAAAATCTAAGTGTATTCTACTTTGAAAACACAAACTGCTCCGCAACTGCCAGGGTGTTCTGCACCTCTCCAGGAAGGGGAGGGAAGGGTTACTATTATTTAGCCATTTCTGTACTAGGCACAGACTAGTACCGGTTGGTGCCCTCTATCTAGAGACTAAGACAAACTACACAGTTCTGAGGAGAATCAACACTTTACCCAGCAACTACGAGAGGAACTTAGTTTTGACTTTAAAGTTCTGCCCCTTTTTTGCTATACTGCCTTGAACTTCTCAACTGAAGAAATAAATTACGTGTTATCTTAACAGATACTAAAATCTATCCTACTGCGCTCATGTATTCTGTGCCTGGGAGTCTAAACTGCTCATTTTTTAGAGAGCGATCATACTGTACAATCAAAAACTTTAAACTGCACATGCTGTTTGACCCCTAATTCCAATTCCAGAAACTGCACTTAAACAAGAAAGTGTTCAGAAGGTATCCATTATTCTTAACAGCATTTTTCTGTAATAAGAAGCACCTAAACCTCTTGTAGCATAGGGCCAGCTAAATACTTCATGGTATAAAGTAAGCACATGAAAAATGACTACACACAAGAGCGTCTCATCCTAGTGAGAACCAGCACACTGACAGCAAGGACTTCCTTTGATTCGTCGTTTGTTCCTAGCACTGAAACAATGCCCAGTACACGGCAGCCAGTCACAGCCTGTAGAATAAGTGAACGTGACTAACGCAGGTGAGTGCAGAAAAGGTTTAAGCTCCAAATACACAGGCAGAATCACGTAACGTGTCCACTTACTGCACGTAATGCAACTGTGTGGACGAGGCGACCAAGAGAAAGCAAGCATATAAGTCACACACGCCAGGCCGCCCTGCGGTGACAATGGAGAAAGCCTGACTGGCTGCCCCTCTGTAGGGCTCAGGCCCCCGGGACTCACACAGTGAAGACACGAGCTAAGTGTGATTCAGGTATTTAAAGGAGGATATTTAAAAATACAATATGGCCCTTAGACATAAGTCAGCTATTCCATCTAGTGCTCCCCCCAAGAAAACTAATTTTCTCCAAAGTTGGGCTCTTTAAAGGATTCCCTATGGAAATTTTGACTACAGAAAGACAGAGCTGACTTTAGAACCCAGCCTTTCCACCTCCACATAAAATACAACTCTGCTGTATGCCATACATCTATAATCACCAGATATATATATATGGATATATGCACAGTATCCTTGTTTTTCTTTATTTTCTACCATAGCCACAATTTACAAATGCTGCTTTCCTATTTCATAGTAAGAAAAAGTTCTATTTCATTTTTTTAATAGTCCACAATAGTCCTTTCTATATTAATCATGGAGAGGCTAGATCTTATATCCATCTCTCTCTCCTTGGCCTAAATCAATACTATCCAACGGGATATTGTCAATTGTTAACAATTTACTCATGTAACACAACTTTAGCCTACCACTCTATGCTATTTTAGACAATTTCTTAGTGAATAACATATAACTCATGCTATTATGTCTTTTCAACAGGAATTAAGACAATTTTTAAATTTCTACAAAGATTCATTTATATTTGAAAAAATAGGAAAAAGATTCAAATCTCTATCTTAACTTTTTTTAAAAATACAAAATAAAATACCTGAACATCATAGAGTGCGACAATATTTTCATGCTGAAGTTCCTGTGAAGGAAATTGAGAATTTAAAATGTTTGTATGTACTGTAATAATTTCAGTATAATGCAATAATTCCAATAATGCAAATAAGAATTTACGGTATATACATGTATACTATTTTCCAGTATATCGCACTTCTACTAGAACAATTCAACCTATTAAAGAATAAGAAATGTGGCTAATCAAACTTTAGTTGGGGGCCTACATTTCTTCTCCCCCCCCAACCACCACCATCATTTTTTAGTAAAAAGTGAGTACTTTCATTCACAAAAAAAAGCTCTAGTTAGGATGGCCACAGATATTCATTCATTCTAAGTCTTCTCATCACAATTTCTAACAGCAATAGAGGCATAAAATGCCAACATGCTTTTCAAAAAAACACGTTATCTGCCTGAAAGAAAGGAAATGTAATTCTCAGCTGGAAGAACTGTAATTCCTACCAAAGAGCTTTCCACAGAATACCTTTCCTTTTTTTTGTTAGAGATTGTTGCTATAAGGCATCTTGTGCTACCAGAAAAGACAGACAGACAGAAAGCAGGATGTCACCCACACACCCGCCCCAAAGGGAAGATAGCCAGGCTACAATCCCTTCTCCTCCAGGCTCCACAGGAGAATAACTTTAAGAAAAGCTGTGTTAGATGAGGGTTCTATGATTACCTCACTTTGAGAAACACTGGGTTAAGGTGACCAAAGTCAGTGTTTTCATTGCAGAATTTTCCAGACTTTAATGAGCTGCACGCTTTGTGACTCTCCAAGAAGCGTTTAGTAAACAGGATTTTTCCAAACTCAGTTGACCATGGAATCCTTTTTTCCTCAAAGCATCTGACTTATACAGTATTGGATGTGAGTGATCTAACAAGTCCACCCAAGGAAAGTAACTTTCTTCTATTTTTAAGGGAAAAAGAGGCCCAGAGTACTTTCCCAAAAAATTAACTATAATATGAAAGGGATAAACAATCTATAGGATGGACCTTCCTGCCTTATTCTCAAATGTAACACAACAGAAAGAAAAATGAAATTATGAGAAGCTGAAGTCAGTCTTCACAGAATCCTTCTAATAAGCTTTGGCCATGAGCCAGAAACATCTATGCTTAAAATTAGCTTCAGAGTAGGCAATGTTTTGAAAACCTGAGCATGCCAAAGTGAGAGCAACAGATGAAAATTCTCAAACTTGGGTCCAACTACCGAAATTGCAAAGGATGTCATCATGTGTTTACTTCACTCAAAATAAACTTTAAACTCATAGGAAATACTCCATAAAGGAACATACCTTTAAGATTTTAATTTCCTTCCCAAGCAGTAGTTGTGATTTTGACAAGTTCTTTTTATTAATACTTTTAATAGCTACCTCCCAATCAGTTTTCTGAAAAGGAAAAACAGTGTTACCCTTGGAAATCATTATTCTACAGGAACAAGTCTACAGAACATAAATCTGTATGCAAAAAAATGTGATTTGCAAATAAGTGTACAACGAGGGGAAAATAGAAAACAACCTGAACCTCCAACCGGACAGTAACTTCATAAATTATAGTGTAACAAGTCAACGTCCTGAAACACAGCTACTAAAACCAATATGAAGTTCACACAGAAACTAACATGAAATTAAAAAAATAAGTAAATAAAAAAACAAACAATAACAACAACAAAACAGTTCACCACCACTTAAAAGCCATGGAGAAATGTGGACATCAACTTGGAAAGGGATAAACAGGATCTGTGGGCTTGGCAGGATTAGATCGCGTTTCAACTTTTGCTTCCCTGACTTTTATTTTCCTAGAGAATGCAAGTCAGAAGTACTGCACTTGACGAGCGACCAAGTCGACCCACTTGAAACATGCCCCCTGGCAAAAATGAGAGCCGCCAGCCAAAGCCCTTACGATCATTTCCACTCCCAGATGCGCCTTTCCAAATTCTTTAGATTCTGAAACCTCGTGTGACCCGACTTGCGAAATAGCGAAGGCTTAAAAAACACAAAACAAAACGACTTCGTTTCAAAGGCCTGAATGCTTATGCGGACGGACCACGAAGCGGCCGACCACTGCTGCGCCCCCGGGCGTGTCCGCCTCGCCCAGGCGGGGGTCGGCGGAGCCAGGCAGGGAGAGCCGACGCCGCCCGCCCGAGAGCCCCGGGCTGCCGGGAAGCACTCCAAAGACCAGCCTCAAAGGTGCCGGGCGCGGCGGCCCCGCGGGGACAAACACAGAAGGTCCACCCGTGGGCCCTCGAGCGGTGCGAGCGACGGCCCGCACCCGGGCCCAGGGCCACCGGCGGCATGGCTTCCCCGGGCGGCGGGGCGCGCA